CTGAGGAGGTTCTAGAGATTCTTTAGTGGGTACCAGTGGTCACTGAGGAGGTTCTAGAGATTCTTTAGTGGGTACCAGTGGTCACTGAGGAGATCCTAGAGATTCTTTAGTGGGTACCAGTGGTCACTGAGGAGATCCTAGAGATTCTTTAGTGGGTACCAGTGGTCACTGAGGAGGTTCTAGAGATTCTTTAGTGGGTACTAGTGGTCACTGAGGAGGTTCAAGAGATTCTCCAGCTGTCCTGGAGGAACATGATGGAACAGCTCCTCACTAACACTGCATGCTGTCAGTAGCTCTGTGAGTTGAATCAGTCTCCTTTGTGGCTCCTCTCAGGGATTACAGAATCACTGTCTTCGCCACCTGCCACGCCATCAGGAGGAGCTGCAGCGGACCGTCCTCCTCCGACTACGACCGGCCGTACCTCTGTCGCCCCTGGCAACAGCTGGTGACCCACCGGCTGCTGTGCTCCAGGCAGGAGGCTGCAAGTAACATGGCTGCTGCAGCAGGAGGCAGCAGGGAGCAGAAGAGACAGCAGGTCTTCACCGTTCACTGCACCTCCTCCTCCTCCTCTTCCTCCTCCAGGACGAAGGCTTACAGGAGCAGTTCCTTCTACGTGACAGACGGAGGAGTGGAGTTTATCTGTCCCTGACTGAGCTGCTGATCACAGGACAGGAAAGATCAGCTCATGTAGTGCAGCTGAAACCGTCCGTCCTTGGTTCTGTTTGTTCTTTAGGTTGATGTATAAATATTTTAATCAACGTTCAATAAAAGTTGGGATCCAGGAGGTTCTACTGTTCTGGTTTTATTGAGGAACTGCTGCTGGCCTGATCAGTGGATCAGTATGTAGCAGCACAGAATCGATTCCATCTGGGATCCATGATGATCCGTTTACTGATGGAACCTCTGCTCATGAATCAGGAGGACACGTCAGTAAAGTTATTGTGGAGGTTCTCGTGGTCAGTTAGGTGGTTCTTGTCATCGCTGAGGAGGTTCTACAGACCCTGTCGGTGGTCCTAGTGGTCACCGGGGAGGTTCCAGTGGATCCTCAGGGGTTCTTGTGGTCACTGAAAACTGTGGAGTTCCTTTAGGTGAGGTTCTTGAGGTTCTACGGGAGGTATTTGTAATTGACGTTGCTCTCATGGTCATAAAGTTAGTTGTAGAGGTTCTGTAGGTGGTTGGTGGCTCTCATGGTAATTTCTAGAGTTCCCCTAGGTTGATGTGGTCACTAAGGAGGGAGAAGATAAAAATAAAAACTCTACAGTATGTATGTTGTGTTTTGCTGCCAGTCACCATTATTAACAGGATCTAAAGCAGGTTCTACTAGACCCCTTCAGGAGGTTCCTGAAGTCTCCTCTGATTAATGTGGTGACCCTTTGGAGGGGCCCGACCCCCAGATCTAGAACCACTCCAGTAAAGTCTGTATATTGTAACCTAATGAACAGGACTGGTGTTATATTGTAAAATAAATATGAATAAATAAATACAGATCATTATATGATGTTTCATGGCTGTGTGTTTGGGGCACGTGCAGCAGCAGTCCGGCTCCTCGCGCTCCAGTCCAGGACTTCAGGTCTGATGACAGAGACCGCTTCACCAGAGCAGCCCTCCAACAGATCCCTCCGCGGGGTCAGACACACTTTTTACACTCACACAAACACACTGACTCAATCCGCCACTGACACACACACACACCTGCGCGTTTTAAAGTCTCACTCCCGGTGCACGTCGCCTTTATCCGGGCGCGAGAGATAAACCCTGCCCGGTAAACGTTCCTGCTCCGGTACAGGAGTTAATGTTTTCTGGGACCTACTTCTTCTCCTGCTGTCGCTGACAGGCGGTGCTTCGGTCGCTCCCAAACATGGCCTCCATGACGGAGCGACCGCTTCAACTTTAATTTTTCGCCTATTTTTCAGAGCAAAACCGTGTTTTTTTCCTTCCACGAGCACCGGGAATGTTTCTTGGGAACGTACCATCATGGCAGACGTGTGAAACAGATGTTATCTGTCGGAGAAGTTCGCTGTTGGCTGTAAACTGATCGCTCGAAGTTGGCTGGAAAGCTGGAGAGGAAAAAGAGAATTGCATCAAATCAGTAAGGACGCTTTTTCCACCTCTCTCTCGACACCTGTGCAGGTTTTCTGCTCGGTTTTTTTGCGTCAACATGACGCCAGCCGCTAACATTCAAAGCGGGGCGGTGAAGAAGCGCGCGGTGGAGCCGGGATGCACTCGTTTCTGGTGCGCGCTAACAGTTAGCCTGCTAGCTAATGCTAATGCTAACAGAGAAGTGATCAGTCAACTGGGCGGTGCGAGGAAGCTAACTGCTAACGGCTAACTGCTCTGTGTCTACGATTCAGCTTCTTTTACAGAAAGAACAGTAAATGTATCATGACGTGGTGACAGCAGCCCTCTGACCCCGCTGTCTGTGTGCACGCCAAACTGTTTGTACGCGTGCTCCAATTAATGAGTTACAGGATGTTAATAATACCACTAATTAGTGCAGGGCTCGTTGTAACTCCTCTGACAGATGCTTTATTATCGTCACACTTTATGATTCTGTGTTATGGCTCACACTCTGTGCTGTTTGCTCCAGCTGATTACAGGCTAATCAGTTATCTATTTATGTATCGATCTACCGTGTCTGTTGTCATAAGCTCCTCTGGGAGACATGTGCAGTAATGGAGGAAGTACTCAGATGCTGTATCGCAGTAAAAGTACTAATACCAGCGGTGAGGGGCGAAGCATCACGATATTTTGCTCGGCAATATTGTATCAATACATGGATGGAGATCGATTTTTCATTTTATAAATGATTAACATTACAAATACAAATTAAAATTTTGGTATCCAACTGAGTGTAAGGACAGACAAATACTGTGCATCATGCTACACCTGTTTACACACTGTATAAACTAGTGCTACTGTCAGAAATATAAAATATGTTTAATGCTTAATTTATTTTATCAGATGAGATGATGACAAAGTTTTCTTTGAGGGAAACATTTGAAAAAATGTAATACATTTTAATATAAGTTATTGCAATACTCAGCATTGTCTTTTTAAGAATCACAATAATAATCGTATCATGATAATGTTGTCATGTGGGGCCTCTGATTCCCACCCTGTGTGGAAATAATGTGATTCAGTAAAAGTCTTGAATTATAAATGAACCTTTTAATGATAGTGTGTAAGTATAAGACACATTTTTGAGAAATGGGACAAAATTTTTCTTTTTAATTTACTTTTTAAAATAACAATCAAACTCTTGACTGTTGAACTGTGTAATGGGCCAGCCTCCCACTGATTACATCTGGTCTCAAATAGGATTTTTTTTCAGCTCAAGACTTAAATTCTGTCGACGCCGTCAGGCACTTCAAATAAAATACGAAGGAAATGTTTAATGATTTTTTTTTTTTGTTTTTGGTATTGAATACAAGATTATTCATTGATCAACTGTTTAACATAGTTTTATTCACATAATAATACTATATAATGTTGCTCGCTCAGTTTCTAATTATAATATAATCTGTAGGGCTGTTAAATATACATAACTTAAATTGCCATTGATGGCTGAGTTTCAGTCGTTAATCTCGATTAATCACATTTGTAATCCCATGTTTAAAATTCCAATATTTTGCATTTGGTAACAGTTTGAAGTCCATATTAACGAGGTGAAATAATGCTGACCAGAGTGTTTTGATTGGGAATCAAATGAAATCAAAGAAATTGACTTTATGATCTCAACCTTTAGATTTTTGTCTTTCACACCAGAGCTGCTCTGCTACAACAGTGAGGTCTGAAAGCATGAACCACTTCACAGAGCTGATTCTGTCAGATACACTGTTTGTGTGTTTGTTTGTTTGTTTGAAAGGATCAAACTGTTCCAGTAGAGAAAGTGCAGTTACTCTGATATAATTCTGACGACTCACTGACGTCCAATGATCCGGTTCATGTGATGGCATCATCACTTTTCAGGAGTTCCAGTTTAGTGTCTGTCTCTGATTCGTACAGGTCCTGTAAGTGTCAAACTATTGTCTCCCCAACAGTAAGACATATGACTGGTCACAACATGTCCACCTGAGGACGTCCCTTAAACGGGATTTATACTCGTGTTGCATCAACACCTTACCTACGGCATAGGCTTTGCGTTGACGCAGAACCTACACTGTCACCTACAGCGTAGCCTAACGTGCACTTGGTTAATTGTAACTCCACAGTGTCACAGTGACGCAGACCTCCTGTCTGTCTCTGTAAGCTGAAACCATTTCCCTCAGTGGAAACAAAGCTTTGCTTTACTTTAATTTCACAGATAAGAAACAATAAATTGTGAAGACAATAAAGCCTCCACACACTGTGTGTGATTTATCCTGGCTGAAATATGAGCAGAGGAAATCTTTGCTAGCTGCTAGGCTAATTTATACAATGTAAAATGCCATAGGCTTGTGCTAATAACATTAGCATGTTGTATTTGTGGGGAAATGTGTCCAGATAAAGACAAGTGTTTGTCTGTGAATGCTGCGAGTTATAGTGAAGCTGATTTGTGTACTTGTGTTTAAAATGGTGTCTATTAACCCATGTTTACTGTGTGTTTACTGTGTGTTTAATGTGTGTCAGCGACACAGCGGTACCGACACAGCTGCGTTGACAAGCGCTCTTCCTCACTTCAAGTTGCTGTTGTTAACTTTTAACCTGCAAAGGTGGCAGTGCTGCAAAATTGTAGGAATTTATGAAAGCCCTTGTGAACATTTCACTAGTTACACATTAAAACAATATTTATTTGCAATTACTCTATTGAACGACCTTGAAGCATGAGCAAACGGGCTGTGTCACTTTGGATCAAAGAGATGCGCCCTGTCACTGTCAGTGCAGGGCTGACAGGTCACCCTCCACTGAGAAGAGAGAGGAGAGGAGATGGATTGTAGGTCTGTTTGTAAACGGGGCTTCTCTGACAGTCATGTACAGTACAGGCCAAAAGTTTGGACACACCTTCTCATTCAATGCGTTTTCTTTATTTTCATGACTATTTACATTGTAGATTCTCACTGAAGGCATCAAAACTATGAATGAACACATGTGGAGTTATGTACTTAACAAAAAAAGGTGAAATAACTGAAAACATGTTTTATATTCTAGTTTCTTCAAAATAGCCACCCTTTGCTCTGATTACTGCTTTGCACACTCTTGGCATTCTCTCCATGAGCTTCAAGAGGTAGTCACCTGAAATGGTTT